TGTAAAGGCAGGGTTGGGGGGTGCTGGCCTGAGGTTCCTGGAGGAACAGGGCTTTGTGTCTTTAGCTTGGAGCGGCACGGTCTTGGGTGACTGCCGCAGCTGAGACTGGGAAAGAGCTCTGTGCTCGTGGTCTGCGTCAGCCTTGTCCCCCGTCCCGTCGGTTCGCGGGAACATCTGGGCAGGCAGAGGCAGACTGGGCTGGGTCCTTGGGTCAGGTCCTGCTCTGAACCTGTTTGCTGTTGTGCCCAGAGATCCAAGCCTCAGTGCCGAGGCCTCGCTCCCAACGGCTTCCACAACTCCATCATGGCCCCGGTGGAGAAGTGCTCCAGCCTCACCTGCAGCGTGTGAGTGGAGGGCTCGGGGCTCAGGTGGGCACTGGAGGGTTCGGGGTAGGCTCTGGGGAGTGGTGTGTGTTGGTGTCCTGTACATCCTCACTGCCGCAAGCATGAGGACGAAGGGCGCGTGCTGCCGGGAATGCACGTGGGACGTTGGGAACCCCAACGGGAACGTCGGTGGGTCTGTGCCCCCGGTCAGCAGTGGAAGCGCTGCAGTTGTGCAGAACAGGGCTGGGCCAGGCATGGGGTGCTAAAGCCGTTTGCCCCTCAGCGTAGGGTAGCGGGGCAAGCTCGGCTTTGGAAAGTCTTGTCTCATCCTGTCTCTTTTGCTGGTGCTGCTGCCCCAGGGGACGGGTTTGGAGCAAGCTAGATGTGTGCAGGGGGTCCTTTGGCTGGCCTGGCTCTGAGGGGAAGGCCTGGAGCGGAGCTGCTGAGGGCGTGGGGCAGCGGCACCTTGCAGGGATGTGTGCTGTGGGATGTGGGCAGGGCCCGTGGCTGGTGTGGGGCAGGGGGCAGAGGGGTTGGCTGTGCTGCCGTGGTTGGGCCTGGGCTGGGAAGGGAGTTCTGCTCTGACATCTGGCCTATCCGCTGCAGACGGGATCAAAATTACTCACGGTGGGAGTTTCCAGATTGGATCCCTTTGGTGCACAAGTGGACGTGTCTCTCTGAAAGGTACCATCTCCTGGGTGCTGACTAGAGCAGCGTAGGGAGAGGGGCTGGGAGGGATCGCATGGCACAGGCACTGTCTGCAGTCAGGCTGTGTGATGGGGCAGGTCCTAGTAATGAACGTGGGTGAGCTGGGGTGGGGAGAGTGAGGTCCGCAGCCCTGGAGGCTGAAGGGGCAGTAAGGATGCAGCCCGTGCCGTACCCCTGTTTCCCTCTTGAGGGATCAGGTTCTAGCTTCCTCGTTGCAGGATTTGGGATCTCGTGGGTTTTGCCATGGAGCCTGAGTAGCCCTCAGGGTGGCCCAAGGGCTGGCAGCAGGGCGTGCTGGGCTGTGTGGTGGGCCGGGTGGGTGCTGGGGCACGGCCGGCTGGGAGAGCACTGTGCCTGGGGCAGGGCTGGGTGAGGGGAGACATCTCTCACTTTCTTCTGCCTCCGCAGTGAGCCCCCCCCCCCCCTGCCAGTGGAAGAGAAGTCTCCCCTTTTCTCCATCCAGCGGGAAGGCATTGAAGAAGATGGTGCCTTGTACAGAATAAACAGGTCTGTGGAGAGGGCTGCTGCAAGGGACTGCTGAGGGGGTGGATGTTATGCCTGGGAGAGGCAGTGACCCCCAAGCAGCTGATGAGGGTGGCTGCTGCCCCGGCAGACCTGGGTCAGCAGCAGAGAGGTTCAGCGGGACCGATGGTGGGCCGAGTGACCGATCCACACAGCGTGCCCTGGGATCTTACCGCAGGACAGAGCGGTCCTGCCCTGTGTCGGGGCTCTGAGCCAGCTGGGCACTGCCCTCCCTTGGCCCGTGCGCTCCCATCCTGTGGCAGTGCTGCTCTTGGCTGGTGCCTTTAGCTGCCTTCTTGCTGGCAGGTTTAACTCCCTGCAGCCCCACGAGGAGCGTCTGGACGTGTCCTTCTTCGTGGGTGGCCCTGTGTGGGCAATGGAGTGGTGCCCATCCCCGGAGGGCTCAGCAGCCTCTCAGTACGTGGCTCTCTACTGCCATAAGAGCATGGATGAGACGCACAGCGTGGCTGGGCTCCATGGGGGCCCTGCGCTTCTGCAGCTCTGGAGCCTGGGCACGCTGCAGCAGGAGGAGAGGTGAGTCATCCAACGCGGAGATTGGCCTCCTGGGGGGAATACGATCAGGGCTGTGCCTGGTGATTGGGGGACTGGAGCACCTCTCCTAGGAAGAAAGACTGCAAGAGCTGGGCCTGTTCAGCCTGGAGAAGAGAAGACTGAGAGGCGATCTCATCAACGCGTATAAGTATCTGAAGGGGGAGTGTCAAGAGGATGAGGCCAGCCTCTTCTCCGTGGTGCCCAGCAACGGGACAAGAGGCAATGGGCAGAAACTGAACCACAGGAAGTTCCACCTAAACCTGAGAAAAAACTTCTTTGCTGTGAGGGTGACAGAGCACTGGAACAGGTTGCCCAGAGAGGTGGTGGAGTCTCCTTCCCTGGAGAGATTCAAAATGGAGAGGGACGCCACCCTGGGCAATATGCTCTAGGTGACCCTGTTTGAGCAGGCAGGTTGGACTAGATGATCTCCAGAGGTCCCTTCCAACCTCAACCATTCTGTGATTCTGTGATTCCCTTTTCTGTCCCCTAGGGAGGGGCAGGGGATGTGTGTCAGGTTCCTCAATGGCCAGCTTAGGTCTCCGCAGGGCTCTGTGCTGCGCATGCAGCTCCACGGAGCTCGCTCTGAGCAGCTGAGCAGGCTGCAGTGCCCTGCCGCTGCCTGGAGGCTCATCCTCTCCCAGAGCTGCCGGCCGTGGCCTGAACCACACTGTTTGTGCTAGAGTCCGGCTTTGCTGCTGGTGCGTACTGGAGCTGCTGGGCGCCAGCTCCTGCCGCCTTCATGGTTCACCCTGTGCTTGCAGCTCTGCCAACAAAGTTGGGCTGGCCTATGGTGTCGCCACTGACCATGGCTGCGTCTGGGACATGAAGTTCTGCCCGAGCGGTGCCTGGGAGCCGCCCACCACCTCCAGGAAGGTAGGTGCGCATCGGGAGGAGGCTGAGCTGGTGGCTCTGAGTCCTTGTCCTTGCTGTAGCCTCGGTTTCCCAGGCAGGGGAGCGTGACCTGCATAGCCCCTCACCCCTCTGAAACCGCAGCTTGCAGCTGCTGAGAGCCTGAGCCTGTGTGTGTTGTTCTGCAGCATCCTCAGATGAGCCGGCTGGGCCTCTTGGCTGTGGCCTTCTCAGATGGCAAGGTGGTGCTCTATTCCCTCCCGCACCCCGAGGCCCTGCAGACTTGTAAGAGAACCCAGGTAAAAGGTAGGAAGAGCTGCGCCGCCTGGCAGGGGAGTGGGGCAGGGGCATCCTGCCCCTCGTCCTGCCGTGCTGGAGGGCGGACTGTAGAGCCCCGGGGCCTGTCTGCCTGCGGAGGATGCAGCTTGCTGTGCTGAGACGGGGGGCTCTGGCAGCCGCACCCTGCGGCTGGGGTGCTGGGGGGGGCCCGCCGGGGGGGCGGCGATTGGGCCCC